AAAAAAAACTCCTATGATGTTTTATTTGAGAAAACTCCTGTGATGTTACGAAATGAAAAATAGAGTAACACAAAAAGCTGTTGAAAACTTATGTGCAGGTTACAAAAAGTCAATAAATACCGGGCTTGGAATATTTTAAATTTATTGAGTAAATTTAGAAACAAGGTTATTTGTCGGTTCATAGTTGAAGCTAGTTTTTGTATCATTGATAAATGAGGTGTTTATTTTAAGCGGCCAACTATTAGAAAATTTTTAAGATGCTTAATATTAAAGATTGTACAGAATTTTATTAAGTTTAAATAGTTATAAAATTATTTTATATTATCAGTAAATGGCTTTATTTTAATAGACGACTTTTTAAATAACAAAAGATTTAAAATAGAAAAAACTACTTGGCAATTACAATTTTCTCTTCCAGCTATTTAATTAAAATATAAATTAAATTATTAAATAGAAAAACACCTTTTCTAGATGATAAAATATTTGAAACTTTAAATTGGATAAAGTTTTATTATTTTATTATAGAAATAATTGAATTAAAAATAACCTTATTATATTTTTAGTATAAAAACTATATACTTCCCTAGTATTAACCTTGCTGTTGAGGGTACGTTTATGTTTATTGACCAGACAATATCTAACAGAATTCAATCCTCTGTGAACCAATATGTCTTAAACTTGAAACATGTCTAATTTTAATTAATATGGTTGGTTTTTGAGTTTGATTTTTTTATTTTTAATTAAAATGATTTAATTTAAAATTAAAAAAACAGCCTATACTTTTATTTTTAGAATAAATGACCGTGGAAGAATATTTTTATAAATTTTTAAAATAAAATTATATTTTACATTACTCAAAAACATTAGTTGTGAAATAAAAGTATAAAAAATGCATGTTTTCTACGAATCATTGGTCACCTTTTTCCAAGTAACAATTTTCTGTTTCTTATTTTAGACGGTGACTCTAGCACAAGGTGAGTGGTCTCCGTTCCACGATGTGTTTGGATTACATGTTTGATTTTATAGATACAACAATTAGGAATCCATACAAAGGAAAAATTTGTCCCTTTAAACAAAAATTATAAATAAGTATAATTAAGAAAACCATGTTTACAGTAATATTTATCTCCAATGAACATGTTACTAAATGAGCAAATAAGTCATTATATAAGTGTTGAATATTGTTTACTATTATTATCGTTGTTTTATTAATGCAAGAAAATATAAAATAAGGCGAGTTTTGGAGACACTAGTCTATTAACTCTGGAAAATAAATCAAAAAGTCCTAGTCACAGATAACGAAGAGATGACTTGTCATTTCTTAATTTTTCTTCTGTCGTTTGTCTTTGAGCTGATATATAATCCAATTAAAAGTCAAATCATGGTCACGAAATTTGTAGATAAAGACTATTATACTGTACGAATAAATATTAAAGAAATAAACGAGAATTAGAAGAAGACAATATTAGACCGCATGTGAAGTTCTCTGAAAAGTTTGTGATCTTTGTAAATAAATAAATATAAATAAAACTATAAACTTTTTTAGGTATAAAGTGTTATCATGGGTGGCCAAAAAATTGGGTGCTGATATATATAGCTGGAATGTCAACATTAATTAGTAACCGATTTTACGGTTCTTCGTTAGAGCCATGTACGTGGAAAACACCATAACCATTCATCCCACAACCTTATTCTACATTTAATGTTCTATTTGCATTTTCTTTCCTTTACTGTTTTATAGTCATGTAAAAAGGAAAAGAAGAATAAAACTCTAATGCATGTTTCAACCAGTTGTTATATTAAATGACTATGTCGGAGTTATCTATGGATTCTTAGAGATTGAGTGGCTTTAAATGATTGGGATTGTTATTTTAATGAACTTGGACTTTTATGAACACAATTATTTGACTGGGTATGAAACATTTGGAAAAAGACCACTTTATTGTGTTAGCCGTTCACCGAACGTGTTTACTATTGGCTCATAGTATGTTAAGTATTTATGCAGTTTCTGTCATTTTGTTGTTATTTTAGTTTATAGTTCACACTCACATGATATATTAATATTGGTTTTGTTTAAGCAGATTTTTGAATGCCGGCATTTTTGGTAATGGTACAGAGGCTTCTCATACATTACCTTATTCATCTACAAGGGCAGCTATGTTGGTTAGGGTTAACACTTTGCTTCAAGGATATTCAGGCATTAGATTCGAAATTATGGAAGCTATAACCAAGTTTTTAAATCACAACATAACTCCATGTCTTCCACTACGTGGTACAATCACTGCATCAGGTGACTTGGTTCCTTTATCCTATGTTGCCGGTCTTTTAATTGGAAGATCAAACTCCAAGTCAATTGGACCCAATGGAGAAGTACTCAATGCTAAAGATGCCTTTAAATTAGCTGGAATTGATGGAGGTTTCTTTGAGTTGCAACCTAAAGAGGGTTTGGCACTTGTCAATGGTACAGCAGTGGGATCTGGCTTGGCTTCCATGGTTCTTTTTGAGGCAAACTTACTTGTTGTTCTTTCTGAAGTTATGTCTGCAATCTTTGCTGAAGTTATGCAAGGAAAACCAGAATTCACAGACCACTTGACTCATAAATTGAAGCACCACCCTGGTCAAATCGAGGCTGCTGCTATAATGGAACACATACTAGATGGAAGCTCGTACATTAAGGAAGCCCAAAAGTTACATGAGATTGATCCACTTCAAAAGCCAAAACAAGATAGGTATGCTCTCAGAACGTCTCCTCAATGGCTTGGACCACAAATTGAAGTAATCAGACATGCGACTAAGATGATTGAAAGGGAGATAAACTCTGTTAATGATAACCCCTTGATCGATGTTTCAAGGAACAAGGCACTTCATGGGGGCAATTTCCAAGGTACTCCAATTGGTGTTTCAATGGATAACACCCGTTTGGCCATTGCATCGATCGGGAAGCTCATGTTTGCCCAATTCTCTGAACTTGTGAATGACTTGTACAATAATGGTTTACCTTCAAATCTAACAGCCGGTCGCAATCCAAGCTTAGATTATGGATTCAAAGGTGCTGAAATAGCAATGGCATCGTACTGTTCAGAACTTCAGTATCTGGCCAACCCTGTGACTAATCATGTGCAGAGTGCTGAGCAACATAACCAAGATGTCAATTCCTTAGGCTTGGTTTCCTCAAGAAAGACTGCTGAAGCTGTAGAAATATTAAAGCTCATGTCTTCCACTTACTTAGTTGCATTGTGTCAAGCCATTGACTTGAGACATTTGGAAGAAAACATGAAGAACGCAGTTAAGAATGCTGTGAGTCAAGTGGCCAAAAGAGTTCTCACAACTGGGATCAATGGTGAGTTACATCCTTCTAGATTCTGTGAGAAGGACTTGCTTAAAGTTGTTGATCATGAATATGTCTTTGCTTACATTGATGACCCCTGTAGTATAACCTACCCTTTGATGCAAAAGTTGAGATCAGTTCTGGTTGATCATGCATTGCAAAACGGTGAGAAAGAGGGAAATTCAAGTAGCTCGATTTTCCATAAGATAAGAGGCTTTGAGGAAGAACTGATAGCCCTTTTGCCGAAGGAGGTAGAAAATGCAAGGATTGAAGCTGAGAATGGAAATTCAAGTATTCCTAACAGAATTAAAGAATGCAGATCTTACCCATTATATAAGTTTGTGAGAGAAAGCTTGGGTACAAGTTTGCTAACAGGGGAGAAGGTGAAGTCACCTGGTGAGGAATGTGACAAGGTTTTTACTGCATTATGTGAAGGAAAGTTTATTGATCCTATGCTCGATTGTCTAAAGAACTGGAATGGTTCTCCTCTACCAATATGCTAAGATTCCTCTACCCACTTATAAATATACAAACTTTCATTTTTCATTCACTGTAATCTATCTTATTGTAATCATAGTAAATGTAATATATTTCAAACTCTCATCACAAAAATTCTATCTGCACCTTCTTTCTCTATAAACAACTTCACTATTGTTTTTTTTAGTATATTTGTTCATAATTAATATATTTTAGATTTTAAAATATCCAAATTAAACATGCAAAACCAAATTGCTGAAATGATTGGTTTGCCGGATTGAAATGTGAATGATGGCTCAAATTGTTCCAGCAATATACTTTTGGAGTTCTGGATGAAATAGGACGGACAAGGATGAGCACTTCACTTAAATAATATTTTATAAATATAAAATATATAATTTTTGTAAGAGTTATATATTTCTTAATAATATATTTTATTTGGATTGTTTAATACATTAGTTCAAGAAAATATTAAATTATGTATATATTGTTTCTAACAAAGTAGTGCCCTTTATCTCTGTGATGGGGAAAACATAAGTATAGTGGCATATGTGTTTTTGCATTTTCGTTATACTATTTTATTTTAATAAGTTAAAATATATTATTTATATCAATTTTAATTTTAGATACATTAAATCAATATATATTATTTTTTTATGAAATGCATATATCTGTAACAATATATAATTTATATTAAAATATATTAAAGTGTTCTATGGTTTGTTAATTTAACTTGTAACAACGTATAATATGTCTAGTTGCAGCAGTAGAAGATAAATAAATTGATGTATACCATTATTTTCTAAAGATGATTATTCTCTCATCATTACCATTTACATCAATTTTGTGTTATGATTTTAAAATATCAAAAGTAAAATAGAAAAAAATTTGTGTACATCAATTTTTTTTTTATATTGACAGAAATGCAGATGTGATAGCACTTGTATGTATGTTGTATCACACTAGTTTATCTTAATGATTTAAAATATATATTGTTTTATTTTTTATTTTTTGTTAAAAATACTAATTGTTGATAGAACTAATATTGACGTCCTTAAATTAATTGTGGTTTTTTATATTCTTGTTTTTCAAACATATGTTTCATAAAACCTTATTTTTTGAATTTTGCCAACTTTGTTATTTATATATGACGTTACCTTTTTTATTATCTAAGTATAGTTGTATGAGTTTTTTTTTCCTTATTTTACGAAAGAAGAAAGGCATTTTCTTCTTACATCTCTAGATGTCTCTTCCTGTATTTACATATAAAAGGATTTTCATATTTGTCGAAAATTAAAAGAGAATTTCGAATTATATTATCTAAAAGTCATTTTTTAATAACTTTTAAATTATATAATTTAAAAGTCATTTGACTTCTAAACTTTAGAAGTCAACAAATAACTTTCTGTAATCTAAAAAAAGAAAAATGAGAAATTTTTTTATATCGAAATGCAGGAAGAAGTTTATGGAAGTGGAAGAAACTAATAATTACACAGATGAATAAGGGCTTTTCTTTTTGTACCCTCACAATTTCAACATGTATCCTCCTCATAAATTTAGAAATTCTAAATTTACCTTATAATTTATGATTTTCGATTTTGAATTGTATAATTCAGAGACATTTTAGATTATATAATTAAAAAATATATATCAATATTATTTTATTTTGGAATATACAATTCTAAGCACAAATTTATATTTTGAATTATACACTTTAAAATACAACATAAAAATATATATTTTACATGTATTTTTGTATCTTAAACAAAAATGAATATAAATTTATAGTACGGTTGTGCATTTAGAATATGTAACATCCTTATTACTTATTTTTTCTAGACAATAAATTATATTAATTTTCATTAGATTATAAGTACAATTTCCTAACAAAAATTAACTTAATGATTCAATTTATAAACAAATTTTCTGTAATATCCAACGTTAATTAGTCATTAAACATATTATATATTACTAGTAATTTTAAAATGTTATTATTATATTTCTATAAGAAAATTAATATAATCACAATACAATATACTGATGGGAGTGAAAGTGATAAGATAGTAAAGTTAATAATAATAAGGTTCTCAAAACTATTAGGGACGAGTCATCAGAAAATGTTAAGAGTGTCGATCTAACTCCCTTAAATAGGTAAAATAAATTTTATACAGATGTGACACCAAAATCAATATAAATAAAAAACAAATTAGAAAAAAAATAGATAATAAAGTAAAATAACTTGCATGCACATATGGTTAAAAAAAATTATAAATAAAATATAAATTAAAAATATCAAATAAAAAAAATAATTTTTAAACCAGTTGCCAACAAAATAAAATGGATAATAAGTTAAAATTGCTAGTATATTTTCTTATATTCTAATAGATTACTAATGTGAACACAGGTTTTACAGCGCACGTGTACGTGATTTTAAATATCTATAAATTATTTAAATTTTAAAAGTAGTAATTAAAATTGTAAAATTAAAAAAAAATTTTTATAATTATAGATATAGTTATTGATAAAATGAATTTTAGTTATTAAAATAAAAAATATTATAAGTGATATTGTGTAAATAGTTTTTTATTATAAATAATTATTTAAATTTGAAAAGTAGTAATTAAGATAATAAAATTAGAAATAAAAAAGAACACGTATAATATTGTGTAAATATTTTTTTTATTATGAATAATTATTTTAAAATTTAAAAAAGTAGTTACTAAAATGATAAAAACGTAAATAAGTTTTTTAAAACGAGTAATTATTTGAATTAAAAAAAATAGATACTAAAATATAAAACCGAAAATAGTTTTTTATTGTGAATAATTATTTAAATTTAAAAAATAATAATTAAGAGGGTAAAATTGAAAAAGTAAAAGAGCATACCAAAAAAGTATATCTTCTTTATATATAGTTATAGATATAGAGTATCACATTAATAATTTTATTTTTCTGTCATAATAAATAAATAAATCATATATTTATATAATTATAGTTTAATATACAAATTTATTATTATAAATAAATTAGAAGTAAAATACAATTAATTTGTAAAACAACCTTATAAAGAAACAAATTAAAGTTGGGGACAAATATGAGATTGGGATTTGAGGTCGCGATAGGTTAATAACCAGATATGGACTACAACCAATAAACTTTTATGTTTTATTAGATGTACTCAATGTATCCGTTAGTCTCTTCACGTGTCATTTTGTCAAAATCAAATAACAACATAATAACACGAAAGCTGCTTCACTTTATGTACACTGAACTAAACAAGAACAAAGACTACATTTTTTTCTGCTAGAAGAACAGAGACGAATCCCCCAAACATTGATTAAGGATTTGTAAGCTATATAGCTCTGAAATTCTCTGATATATATTCAGGCTCATGAAAGTAAATTATTGACCTTAAGCTGTTTGTATAAACGTTCTCTAAATATATTATAGAAGGCTATGCCAAATCTACCTAATACACTTGAATGATGATGATATTTTTCTTTTACAAACCGTTGATGGAGAAAAGTGTTAATTATAAGAAAATGTACAAATTAAGTTTGCCAGGAAAATCATGAGAATATCTTCAGATAGCTATGGTGATTTGTGTATATGACTCTGAATGGAAAATAGATAGCATACTAGAAGCAACGGGAGAGCGTTTGATCCTGAGCAATACGAAGAACGTGAAGAAAAATGTTCTCGTTGCAAGGGATATGAAGTTTGGAAGCATTATTGAATCCAAAAACGTCCTCTGCATGGTCCAGCAAGACTTGGAACAGTGGATGGCTGAGTATGGCTACTTTGATCACAAATCTCTTGCAATCCTCACCAACGTAGACAACTAGGTGACCCTTCGGAACATCATTGGGAACGTACGAGTGTGACTTCGTACAACACGAAAGAAACATTCGCATGTGCTCCAGCGTTTCACATTTCGGAAAATTAACTCTCACCTTTCTGAATTTAGAAAATTCCCTTATGCAGCACATGAGATGTTTGTTCTTCATCTTCATCGTAGAGAGAACAGAGAGAGACCCTCACACACTGAAAACTAAAAGTGAGTGAGGTATTTATACGTGTAGATGTTAGAGAAAGGTATATTAATATTTTAGGGTGGCAAAAGAATGATAATATGTATGGTTTGGATGGTGGGGGAATATTTTAATTTAGTATAAGAATGGAGTTTTGCATGGATTAAAGGTACGAAACAGGACCTTTTGTTGTTTATGGTGTGGTTGATAAGAAGGTAATGAAGGGAAGTACCCCACGTACATAATGGGAGAATGGGAGTGACAGGAAAAAGGCACACACGAGAGATAAAATAAAAGTTTGCTGGTTGGAAGTTGCACAATTAATATCAAAGTACCAAGTTGTTATCCTCTCTTTCGGACACTTATGGCAAGGGAATCAAGTGTTACAGTTCCCTTCTCCCTTGACAAACTAATTATCGAATCTCTACCAATCAAAAACAATATTATATAACTCAAATAAGATTACTTTTTTAAATAAAATTAAACGTTTTTAGGATTATTCAAAAAATTTCAACATTTTTATATTTATTTAATACGAGATTTAGATTCATATTTTATTTTTAATAACTATATATAATAATAGAATTTATTTTTGTATACTTTAGAGTAACGATGAATTTGTTTGACGATGAGACATTATAGAGAGATGGTGGGGAAGTTGAATGCGTTGATCCTCTGTTGGACACAGAAATCCAAAAAAGACAGCCAACAGATTTATGTTTGGTAATTATGAGGAAGAAGAGACACAGTATTGTGAGAGCCAACAGATTTGTAAAATATATAGATAAGTTAGTGTGAATTATTTTTGGCAGCTAATTGGAGGTTGAGAAGTCCCGATCACATGGCGCATATATGGTAAGATATCTGGCACTTTTTGGAAGGAACTTCCACCAGGTAATGCCCTCATATTCTTTTGCATTAATATATATACTCAACATTTTCCTTCAATTAATTCATTGCAATTTCACCTTTTAATTTAGCAAGTTCTGATTTTCTTTATAAGATCATAAAATAGGTTGGATTGGGCTTATCCATGATTTTTTTAAGAGATATATACACTTCAAAGATTTATTATCTTATATGTATATATTCATATTAGATAAC